AGGCTTTTGATTTTTTACATTATTTCATGCATGGAACCCAATCAACCATGGACTAAATCAATATCTCAGACCAGGTTCAAAGCATTTCAAGTGCAAATTCTTAGCTGACTATTATGCTTTGCATCACAATGGGTTTTTCTTTCTCTTCCCCCCCCCCAGCCTTTTCTTTCTCTGTCACGCAGACACAAGTAGTTATAAGGGCTCCTTTCCTTTTAGATTTCAAGGTGTAGCTCTCGCACATCAAAAGTCCACACAACCAACCCACTGCAGTAGAGTGTGCTGTGAAGTTGCTGGAGGATATCAATCATTTATGTTGCATAAAGCCAATAGACCCTTATGTATTATGAATCTCTTGCACACACGAAAAGCAGGGGTGGCAGTGAAAGGGGGGAGTGTAATACAAAATGCTGACAGCTTCTATTCCAATCACTCTGCCAGCTGACACTGTAATGTGTGCGTGGGTGCGCCTGCCAATTTATCACCAATTTGAGGCAGCTAAAACATTGCAAAAGTTTGCCTGAAGAGTGGAGAGCAGAGAAGGACACATTTGAGAGAAAATGTGTTCCTTGGCCCACCTTTTTCCACTGTGCCCTCACAATGTTTAACCTTGACTCTCACCACTCCAGTCTCACAGAGCACGGCTGTTCTCCACCTCTCATTCCCATTATACTACATTTCTGATCAATTAGCCAAGGGATGAGGGAGCCTGTGGTCCTTGTGGCATTGCTGGGCCTCCCACTACCATCAGCCCATGCAGGCATGGCCAATGGGTCAGAGATGGTGGGCAACATCCAGCAACATCAAGGGAACATGCTCCTCCTTCAATTGAACAAATTCTGTGTACTGAATCTGTATACCTGAGGTATAAAAGCCCACAGAGAAACCAAAGCAGACATGGGTGTAGCGGGGGGTGGGGGCAGCTGCCCCCCTAGATCAAGTTAAACAATAGAAATACTTAACTTACTGACCAATCACTTCGGTTCTTATCCAACAAAAGTCCTGCCCCACCCCCCCACAAAAATCCTGGCGACTACGCCCATGAAAGCAGAGGTGGGAAAGCAAAGCACTGATGCTGAAGAACAAAAAGGCAAATGGGTGGTAGCAACTGAAGCCTGCCCATACTCACAACATCCCCCTGTAGCATCCTCCTCCCCTGCCCCGTTGACCTACAAAGCACTTCTCCAAAAGGTTCACCTCTGGGTATCAGAGACCAGCTAGGAACAAAGTGGCATCAGGAAAAAGGCCTCATTACCTATCAACCCACCAGGTTTCCTCATCCCCTGGTTAGCTTATACATCGTTGTCTACATGTTATCTGACCCAAACATTCCCTGCCCACTCATGGTGCCAATGACAACCTCTGCTTGATGGTGGAACATCACATTCATGGAAGGGGCTTTCCACTTTGGACAGCAGCACAGAAGGGAAGAATTAGACCTGGCCAACACCCTGTGGTCCAAAACCTGACTTGCCCTCCTTCACTCTGCAGCCACTATTTTAAGAGGAAAGCACAGGTGTGTGAAATATAGTCACGCCTTCCATATTTAATCTGCTTTGGCCTTGTGAGTGAAGCGAAGCAAAGGTGGCATGTAGCCAACAGGATCAGATTTTTCGCAACCAGGTGCCCTCCACATGTTTCGGACTAAAGCTCCCATCTGCTGCAGCCAGTGGTCAGGAAGAATGCTAGAGGGTACTTGTTTGGGGAAGGCTGTTCTTGATTATCAGACTAGCAAAAAAGCCTGGCCTACAAAAACCTGAGATAGGGAAAGTGATTAAGATAGAGAGGGTTTCATATAACCCTCTATAGACAATCCCCAGCCAGATATGCCCAGAAGCCACACTTCTCCCCACTGCAAGGCTTGAATCTAAGCTCTAGATGCAGTAACAGAAATACACCCAGGTTTTCAAATTAAAAATATCCAGAGCAAACAGAAACAGCTTGGGCTGGGTTCCCTGGACTTCCAGATGTTGCTGAACTACAACTCCCATGATCATTTTCCATTGGCTACGGGAGATCTAATCCCACAACATCTAGAGCATGGGTAGGCAAACAAAGGCCCGGGGCCCGGATCCAGCCCTTCTAAATCTGACCCGCGGACTGTCCAGGAATCAGCATGTTTTTACATGAGTAGAATGTGTCCTTTTAAACAGTGGCAAGAGTATTGTTAGCCGAGAAGTGGAAGCAAGAAGAAATTCCGACGAAAGAAGAATGGCAGGCGAAATTAATGGACTATGCAGAATTGGACAAAATGACAGGAAGGATTCAAAACTTGTGGGACCAGAAATTTACAGAAGATTGGAAGAAGTATATGAACTATTTGAAGAGCAATTGTAACCAACAAATTACGCTAGTAGGACTACAAGAAGTTTTGGAAGGAGAAATATACGAAGTGTTACAAAGTAGAAAAAGATAGAGATATTGGTTATGAGTTTTAAATGTAATAGGGAAAGTAAGAAATGCATACTAAGAAATTAAATTGGAAAATTTTCAGACAGGACTGATGGAAGTCAAAAAATTGAGTAAGATGTCAAAGTATGTTTAATTATTGTCGAAAATGGTATGTTAAAAAACTAATAAAAATTTATATATATATATAAAAAGAATGTGTCCTTTCATTTAAAATGCATCTCTGGGTTATTTGTGGGGCCTGCCTGGTGTTTTTACATGAGTAGAATGTGTACTTTTATTTAAAATGCATCTCTGGGTTATTTGTGGGGCATAGGAATTCGTTCTTCTTCTTTTTTTCAAAATATAGTCTGGCCCCCCACAAGGTCTGAGGGATAGTGGACTGACCTCCTGCTGAAAAAGTTTGCTGACCCCTGATCTAGAGGACCAAAGTCTCCCCATTCCTGCTCTACACATATGTTTCTATGTCAAAAGTACCTGGCCTTCCTGCAGATCAACCAAATTTCTATTTATCCACCACTACAAAAATAAAATAGGAATCTATGAACAAGAAAGGAAAATTTACATGCAGCAAAGCAGCCACAAATCAAAGCTTTGGAATAAAAATCAAGAAAAATGAAGCATCTGGTGGAGTTAGAAAAAAGTCTAAAGCACTGTTCCTATAAGTAATGTTCAGTAGTTTTAAAAGACTGTTGGAGTCATTTCTGCAAGAGCAATGAAGAGGCTACGATTTATGACTGTTAGTCACCCCTTGATTATGAAAGCTGCCTTTCCCTCTGCTGATTATTTCTGTTTCATACCAGAATATCAGTGCTCATAACTAGAAATGAACAGTCAAGGAACATCTAAATAGAAAATGGGATAAGATCCACCAGAACTGTGCTAAGTTAATGCAGCTTTCCTATGGAAGGGAATTTCACCTGCTAAACAGATTGTCCAGTTGGCTGCTTTGTTACATTAATAAATAAACACTGTCTTCAGTTTGTTTATTTTGATAAATTTATAGCTGCTCTTTAGTAAAATCTTCCAGAGAGAGATACAGCATAAAAATATATAATACTTAATACAACAAAACATACTGAAAACTCAACCCACAATAACAGCAACTCAAATTTACATCACAGCATTGCGAAATGAAGTGTTGTGTGGTTAGGGGTGAAACAGCTGTAGTATGAAACTGCCTCATTTCACAAAAACAAATATAATAGTGTGATTCTACAGCAATTCCTTAAGTAGAAGCTCTTCACTGAAAAGACTATATAAAAGAGTGAGTAATAGCACCATTATCCTGTTCAGTCCTAAAAGGGACTTTTGAAAGCTATTTCTCTTTAACTATGGCTATTTTCAGCTGATGTTTCCAGTTCATTGGAACTCAGCATCACTACATTAAAGACAGTTATCTCTGGCAGCTGTATGACCAACACTAGCAGAGCCCATGCTTTGTGCTCATAAGTGTGGTACTGTCTGTTGAGCGTAGGGGGCTTATACCTTAGTTTATTGGAGCATAGATGGTCTCTATGGCTTTAAATATATACAGACCTGCCCTTGTGTGATGCTCAGGCGTACAGTTGTTTTGCTGAGAGCACACAACACACCCCATTTCAGAACAGCACTAAGTTAGGTAATAATTTTTATACAACAGTCTGTGCACCCTTTCTTCCAACCTGGAATTATTTATCCACGGAGAAAAAATATCTTGCCTGAAGTGGCCTTTAAAGAAGATATTTGACACAGTATGTTGACTGAAGAAGGGTGTGGTGGTGAATACATCAGCTTCCCGAGGGTTTGCAATGCTATAATAATAATATTTTTTTTAAAGAATCTGTGAAAGGTGGATGAATGGGTTGAATCAGCTAATATGGATCTCAAAAGGTGCTGCAGCTCACCTTGTTAGCTCAACCAATCCTGCCTTTTTAACACTGATCCTTTTAGATCTCTTTCAATGTACTTCCTTTAATCACTCTCGCACAAGCCCTGCATCAATCTCCCTCTCAGCTGCAAGCAATTTCCTCCCGTCTTTCCTCCCTGTTGAATAAAGCTTCTTATAAAGGAGGGGACATTATCGCCAAGTGCCCTTCCAACATCTGAGACTTAAGCCCCTCCCCACATCTGTTGTTCAGCATAAATGCTGACCGTGCTACATGTACAGCTGGTTGGAGGGGGTGGGGGGGCGAGGAGAGAATGCACAATCCTTGAAGATACCGAATCCCTTTTAAAACAGAAGGGGGGGAAAACGGGAGCCAAAGACTAGTGGCACATCACAACCAGCCTCTTCGCTTTTGCTTAGTGTACAGCCAGTCAGCTTAGCAGTGAAATGCTTAAGAAAGTCATTGTATTTACTGCCATCCAGCTCCATGCAGTAACACAGGGATATAATCACAGCAGTAGAGCACACACTTTGAAAATAAATGGGTTCCTTGCCATTTCAGCACCGCTTCACATGTTACAGAAATTACGTACTTACGTACTACTGGTTTTCCATGGAAACATGGAAGCTATATTATACCAAGTCAGTCCATTGCACCACCTAACTCAGCGTCTTCTCTGACTGGCAAGTGCTCCCCAGGTTTTCACAGACAGGTCTCTCCTACTCCTTCCTAGCCGGGATTGAACCTGAAACCTTCTGCCTGCAAAGCAGACGCTCTACCACTGACCCATCACCGGATGAGAAATTCCCAAGCCCAGGCTTAAATCCAAACCACCACCACCATCCCTCCACTTCCTAACTGAATCTGGGAATATCTACATGCTGGAATTAAGAAGTTCACTTAGAACAGCCACAGTTTTGTTAGAAAATATGCTTTGATAAATCATCTCTGACATTTAAGAACCATTTTTGATGTGAAAACTGAAGTTAGTATACAAAGGACCCACAGGGCCTTAAGGTATTATTATCATGCCGCTTCTCTCACTTCAGTCAGCACAAGTTGTGCCACAGTTAAATGCAAGCAAGCATGGTAAGGATCTCTAAAATTGACTTTGGGGTATGGCAGGGTTTGGATGTTCTGTCCAAAACAATAAAATTTCCCGTAGATGTGTGTCACATCCCCACCTTAGCATCTGTCATTTCTATTTCCAGGTTGCACCCATTTTAATATTGTAGACGATTTTACTTGTCATGTCACTGCTAAACAGAAGGCCCCACAGGCAAGTAATATTGAACAATGGATAGATTGTTTTACTTACATACACCACACAAATCTCCTCCTGGTCGGTATTTCAGCAACGTCTACAAGGAGCTTTCTGTCTCTTGTAAGAAAACGAAAGGAGGGGGTCCTCACCTTGGAGAGTTTGCACAAAATTCAACTCTAAATGCATGCCAAAATCATTCTAAAGCATCATGGGAAATGCTCAGCAACAGGTGGCTTCCCCACAGAGAGTTCCTGTGCTAAGCAACCAGCACGAATCATCTTTCAGTAGTGCATTAGCACTGACCACCTGGACGCTCATTAGTGAATAAAAACGTCCATTTGCTTGCAATACTGGAGGCAAAGATTCCACTATAGTGTGTGGAGTAGCTTTCCACTTTCTTCTTCTTCTTCTTCTTCAAATTTCTATACCGCCCTATATCCAGAGGTCTCAGGGCGGTTCACAGATCAATCATCAAAACTGATAGCATTGCAAATAAGCTGGTGCCATTTTGAATCATGCATTCAATAAATCAAGCAAACAAAATGAGTTTGCATAGGCAATTTGCCTGCATTTCATGCAGAGGGGAAGAAGGCAATGAGAGAGAAGAAGCAAGAATGACTTAATTCCTGTAGATGGATGGTACCATGCAACTGCTCAGAATCTGAAGTCGTCACAAACTTAGTATCAAAAGATTCAGCAATGTTAAAGGCTTTGGCTTTAAAAATAAGGATGTCAGCTTAACCTCCTCATCCTTTATACAAATGGCTATGAAGCCCCCAGAGCACCAACTTCAGGTTCAATTTGAAAGTTTACAGTCATCTCACACCCTATGTTCTAAGGCACACACTAAAAAAAAAAGTAAAGGATGAATGTGTACTGAACAGGTACACTGAGAGCACTGTAACCGGCTTGCCTATTATTATGTATGAAATGGCCCTATGCAGTTCAGGTACTGCAAGGAAGAATTTGCATGATCATAGAAGAATACAGTTTGCTTTCTCCTAACTAAGCAGAAGCACGCCCTCTGGGTCTTTAACAATGAGCAACTATGAATCAATGGACTTGCACTGTAGAAATGAGGAAGTTAACTTTGCAACCTGAATAACCATTCCTAACTACTTGAATAGTTACTTGTTCTGCACTATCAAGCCCACACACGTTTTGCATCTAAAGTGGACACAATCACTTCCATTCATTAAACAAAAAACAAAAAACTGGTTCACCCAGTTAAGGATTGCAAGAACAGTGGAATGATTTTGCATGGCCCGGTTTGTATGTTGCATTAAACCATAGTTAAACAATGGTTTCATGTGAACAAGCACCTAGCTAGCGCACGCTGCTCAAGAGTTGCCACAGCACTCCTCTCCTGGTCCTGCACTATATGGAAGCAAGCCAGAGTCTGACTTACGGGGAGGGAGGGATGCTGGAAACAAACAAACCACAAGCCCCGATTCAGATGACATGTCAAGCCAAACTTTCTGGCATGCAACTGGACCTATGTTTCCACCTTTTCATAAGGGCTCTATGAAGTAGATCATGGTTATTTCCACATTAGCATGGAGACTAGTGGCTGAGAAAAATAGTGACTAGTTGAAGGCCATAGGCCGAGATAAAAACGGAACATAGGCCTCAAAAATCCAAGACTAGCACTGGCTTGTACCAATTTAGCACAGTCTGTAAAAATGGTTAGTCTTCATGTTTGGGCCCTCCCCCCTCTTTTTTTTAACACAGGGGTTTCTGGTCCTCTTCCCAAGTTCCAAGCAGAACATAATAGAGCCCGTTACAGCACAGCCATGCCACCAGAGGCTTTATAGGTCAGCTTGAAAAGGCTCCTACTTAATTTAGCTCTCAAGGTCATTAGTTCAATCTGGAGCACAGCAGCGGGAACCACCACATAAGCTACGAAGTAAACAGTGTTTGCACATTTAAGCAAACAAATATAACAAGCTACACACCCTGAATTTGTACATCTGGTTCAAGTGAAGGCGAGGGACGGCCACCAAGATGAAACCCTTTGCAGCTGCAATTGGAAAGATGGGAGGTGAAGGGAATAGGAAACAGGCCTGCTCAGTGTAACTTATGTTTGAAGGGGCAGCAGAGGCCTGGAGTGGGGGTAAAGGCAGCAAGATCCAACTATTTCCACTATTTTCAGTAAGATCTGAAGCTGGCATATACCAAGCCAGATCACTGGACTATGTACCTCAGCCTTTTCTGGCTGCAAGTGCTCTCCAGGCAGGAGTTTCTCCCAGTTTATCACCTGGAGATGATGGGGACTTTTTGCAATGCAGCCCAACAGCAATGGACAGTAAAAACCACCGAGGGAGAGGGTCCATCAAGCATAGGAACATAGGTACATTGTCAGATCATTGGGTGGTTAGTCCATCTAGTCCAATATTACCTACACTGACTGACAGTGGCTGTCCAGGGTGTCAGGCAGGGTTCTCTTCCAGGCCTACCTGGAATGAACAGGCAGTACTCCAGGTGCAGGCTGCTCAAATGGGCAAGGGTCGGATCCAATGGAAGCCCACCGTCAGCTCCGGCCCCTGGCACAGCCCAAGTCCCAGCCTGCATCCCCATTTGCCAAAGCAGAGTGCAGGCGAGGATCCAGTTCCTGATAGGCACCAGTGAAGCCTCTGCTGTCCCGCAACACTGCTGTACCCAGAGGGTGAGCAGATTTCTGCATACAAAGCAGCACCTCTACCCAGAGAAGGCTGGGAGGGAGCTGAGCAGCAACCAGCACGCAGGAACGCCAAGGCTCTCACCACACTCAGCAGGAGCCAGGGTGCTCCTCTGTGTTGCAAACTGGCTCCCCCCACCCTCCAGCAACCAGTGCACAGAAACACCCTGGCTCTTGCCAAACATGGAGGAAGCCAGGGCATATCTCAGAGTGTTGCTGCTCTTTCGGCTTCTCCTCCTGGGGTGAGGGAAGATGACTGGCAACACGGCACATGAAAGGCCTCCCTCTCAGCAGCAGAAGTAGTTGGGTGAGCGGAGTGCTGCCTCTTGCACTTCCGCCGCCTGAGGCGGGCACTTCAACCAGCTCTGGCTTTAGCACTAAGGTATACCCCTTCCCTTAGAGCGATAACCTCTCGTTTCTTTTAACTTGATGCAACTGCAAAACAAAACAAAACAAAGAAACAAGGAGGCTGACAAGTACAGTTGTAGCTCGGAAGTCGAACGGAATCCATTCCAGATGTCCGTTCGACTTCCAAAACGTTCAGAAACCAAGGCGCGGCTTCCAACTGGCTGTAGGAAGCTCCCGCAGCTAATCGGAAGCCGCAGAAACCATGACGGATGTTCGGGTTCCAAAGAATGTTCGAAAACCAGAACACTCACTTCCAGGTTTGCAGCGTTGGGGAGCCAAAACGTTTGAGTCGCAAGGCATTTGTCAACCAAGGTACGACTGTATCTAGCAGATCACAATATTCTACTGCAAGTCTGTGTTTTGATTTGGTGTCCCGTAAGTTGCAGAGTAGCATCAGCTTAAAATGTAAGAAAGCACACACTCAATAACAGCTCTGGACACATGGAGAGGCAGCTGTTTCATTTGTGCCCTCTGGCTTTGTGGTGAACCAAACGGCGCGTGTGTGCACACACAAATGAAAGATACTTGTGGGGAATGAGGTTTTGCTAATCCAACTGCAGAGCCAGAAGCTGCTCATCTCCCATTGTCTACATGATCAGGTGACACTGTTCTTAAAGAAAGGGGTTTCAATATTGCATGCACAACGCACGCGCCACTAGCACTCTGGCCTCACATTTCTTCTGCCACAAAAATAACCAGGAATTCATGAGGGTGGCTTGTCATTTCAAGAACAGGAATGAGAAGGTGTTATGGTGGGGCAGTTCATTAGGCCCACAATGCATGGTACTTATTGAGGAAGGAGAACCATAACCATAATGGTGGGAAATGGTACGAAAGTGCTTTCCAGTCAGTGTTAGACACTCAAGATATATAAGCTAGGCGCCAAATGGCTCTTTAAACCAGGGTTACAGTCACCAAAATGGAATGCCTAGCTGCCATTTGGGGGCCAGACAGCTTGCAAGTCGTATTTTTCAATACAACTTTTTTGTGTCTGAAATTTATCCTGACTGTATAGATAAAACCCTCCCAGCTCAGTAATGGAGCAATGCTGCCTATAAAGTTCAAATGGAGGTGCTATTTCCAGGGAACCATACCATTTTTAGATTTACTTTTTAAAAAGGACACCTCCTTGGGGTTTGATTATATCCTGTTGAAAAAATAGAGGTTACTTCATAAAAGACAACTAGGGAAGTGAACAGCCCTGCTTCCTTTACACTTCAGAGAGAGCAAAGGGGCCCATATTATTGGTACATACACTGCTGAAACACAGCTATTGTTAATGGTTAAAGAAACAAAGAGGCCCCAGAGTTTATTTCCAGACAGATGTAATCCAACACTGGAGCACATACATTCAGACCACAGTGGTTGGAAATAGCTTCATGTAAATGCCCTTACTTCTGCAGCTCAGCTAGAAAACGGCTTCGCTGCCTCCCTTCGCAGGAGCAACG